AATGTCTGTTAGCACTTGGCAGCGACAGGCCTACTTTGCATCCTCTCACCCATGATAATTGCAACAACAATTGTGAAACAGGTTCGGCTTCTCTTCAGCGTGGCGAGCTCCGTGGTGATGAATAATCAGTAACCCCTCTCCTGTGCTCTCACTTTCTGCACCGCTTCATCTTACCGTTCCTTCTTCGCTGATCTCTCTTCCACTCCAGTCCCTCTTGACAGAATTAACCTGGTGCACCAAGAAGAGGCCCTGATGGAGCCCTTTGCTGGGACACAGTGCGAGTTAAGCTGAGGGATCAGCAAGATGAATAGAGATTGGATAGGGAATAAGAACGAGAAAGAGCGCCTGCACCCCCTCAGCGCTGAGGGCCTGTGGAGCGGCTGCTGCAGAGAGATGGAGGTAATTACATCTCAAGTGAGATGGGCCCTACAGGCAGGACCTGCACTTGCCATATTTTTCTCTTTGGGGGGAAAGCAAGTGCATTATGAAGCCACGCTTTGAGGATTCACTCAATTGGGAGCAAGTACCCCGCGTCCACTCTGGGTGGGGAGAAACCATTTATGCAGGAACGTGTGGAGGGTTTGTGATTGTGAAGCTGCAGGCAGGAACCTTTGGCACTAATAATGGCCAGCAGAATGCCCAATGCTCCTCTAATGCTGGCGGGGCAAGTAGATGAGCTTTGGCTCTGAGGTCGGGACTCAAGGCCAAAGCTGTAACCTGTAATGAGGCATCACAGGAGGGGGAGCTAAATAGACTTCTCCATCTCACATGGACAGTCTGTCATATCCTGGCCAGAAATCAACCTCCACGTAGATTTAACAACATCGATTTGAAGGGCCTATATACTACATTTGTCTTGTTCTCTAGGACCACTTATGAAATGTGTGCCGTTTTACAAACAAAAACACAATCCTCTTAGTTTAACCCTGAGAAATAAACTGCTGTTTTTTGTTACTGTGCCTTTTAGACTAAAATGTAAATGAGTTTGTTCTGATCAGCTGTCCTGTATTTTAGCTCCTTTAAAGCAGTGGGGACATTTCATGACGTTGGATGGACCACAAGAAACAGGGAAAATGTCTGGTTCTACTGACTTACATTAAAAGTAAAGTATGTTTTTTCCTTCTTCTGTCAAGTTATCATTTTGGAGATACAAGGTTTTGTCCAACAGCAGTGATATAATTTCCATATAAGGACTGTACAGACTGAGCAGTGAACAGTATGTTTTGAAACTATGATGTTCATACACTACATCAAACTCTTTTATTGTATGATATGTGCCCCTTAAAAATGGCCAGCCATGCTTATAGAAATCAACCTCCACAAAGATTTAACATAGATTTAACAGTGTCCAGAAACACTCACACTCTTAAAAAAAATAAAGGTGCCAGAAAGAGTTCTTTGGCACAATATCATCAAATAATCACTTTTCAATTTACCAGCAGGCCCCAAAGTTTTATTAGCATGACCTGTTTGCACTGAGGGCCCTGTAGTTACTGAATAATAAGCCTGGGATTTCAAGGAGTTAAAACAGTCAACACATAAACTGTGTTCAAGTCATTAATAAACTCATAATTACTCCAAGTGGATTTCAAAGAAGCCAACAGACATTCTTTCCACTTTTCTGTGGATAATTTAGAAAAATTGAGAAACATTTTTGAATTTGGAGCAAAAGTAGAGCAAATATGTAACTGGTAGTTGGACCTTGACTGTTTTAATAGGATTTTATTTATTCCATTCTGCCATTAGTCTTCTTATTTTATTAACTTGGCACTGAATCATTATGAATATGTCTAGGGCTTTGTAGACACTAGTCCCTTTCTAACCTTCAAGTTGTTTAGATGCTGTCTAGCTCCTCTCTGTTCTTTGAAAAAGAGATTGATTCAAGAGTCGCAAATATACTGAGTGGCTTCAAGGTGAAAGCTAGACAGAAAGAGGTGCAAAACTTTACCCCTTTTGTGTGCAGCAATTCCGTGTTTTCCTGCCTAGTTTTATTCAGTCATAATAAACCAGTTACATTGTGATCATATGGTTCATATCATCAGCTTTCCTGAACTTTACAAGACAGGCTTAGCAAATATATTCATATTTTTTTTGCTCACATTTGTCTTTGCTGAGCTGATAAACAGACTGAGACAGACAGCTATTAGAAAATTTAAGAGTGACATTAACCCTTTAATGCTGAGGTGAAAACAGCTGCTTCTACATGCTTATACAATGTACACCTCTGCTTTAATAACAGCATTTCTCAATGCTGTTGTCACATTCATTTGAATATTGTTGTTGTCTAAAAAAAATGTAGTGTCTTCAAAATCATAACTTCAAAAACAAAAAATGCAAAAACATTCTTTACTTTTAATGTAAGAGATTAAAGAGGTTTTATTACAGGTGATTTTGGAGCATTTCTATTGACCTATTTATCATGAAATCTTCACACAGTGGCAAAGGCAGCTGCTGTGCTCAAATGATATAAATAAAAATAAAGGTTGGGAAAAATATGTATGCGACGATATGTAAAGAATATGACTTAACAAAGTCAATAATATGTAGATTTTAGTAGTTTTCTGTACATGTCAAAACTACTATTTTGAACATATGAATTCACATTTTATTGTTACTGACAAAACGAATCAATAATAAGCCCATAATGATCTGAACTCTGTTCTGAATGTGTGCGCATGCTCACTCAGAAACAATTCAACAATAAAGACAGCATTGTCTGTTTTATAAAAACAGGCTCAGGTTACTCAATATCACCGGTCCTATATCTTCAACCTTGACAGACTCTGAAAAGACGGGGATCTCTGGGACTGTAAAGTCATTCTTCAATCTATGTAGCAGCCATTCCCACCAGATCACCCACACAGTGAGAGTTGCTTTTTACTTATCGACTTGTTATCCTAACAGCCCATAGTGTTGGAGAGCTGGCTCCAAGAATAACACACGAAAGCACTGCAGAAGAGCCTGGTGCCCTGAGAAAGTGATTTCTACTTTTACTTAAGCACAAAGGGGCAAAGATATTCAGATCTCTCCTCTACAATTTACGATTAATCTCATCTAAGTGAATGCAGTCTGAACATTGAGATTCTGGCTGTGCTTCCTTTTTCGGTCATTGCTTTCACCTCATTCTACACTTCAAAAATCTAGAGGTTATCCAATCCCACAAATCAGCTTTACTGAAGCAACCGGAAGCGGATATTACTCCACTATTACTACAAAAGATCTTGCATAGCAGTCCTGTTGCAAAAGGTGGGCAAATATACTATATTTTTATTTTTATTTCTCATTGACTTTCTCTCCATATTTAAACCTTACAAGTTATAGTTATTGTTAGCAAGTAAAGCATTATGTGTTTTTTTGCACTCAAGGTCATTGAAACAAACAGAAAATGTCAGAAATACACACTTACATACATTCATTTGTAAATGCCCGGTCAAATTTCACGTTTTGTGAAAATAAATAAAAAATAATTTTACATATCCTCTATAGAGAACACACTTCTGCACATGCTGGAAAAAATCTTTAATGTGGCCTATGCAAACGTTATTGCACATTTTATATTTTATGTTTCATTTTTTCCAATATGTTAAAATCAGCAACTTTTAACTGGCTTGAACTTTATACTAAAACCCTTTTGCTTTGAGTGAGGCTATACCTTAGCTATGTTTACTTTATTATGATAAATGACAGAACATTCCATTCTGGCACTACCAAAACAATCATAACACTACCAAAACATTATTAAATGTTCAAATTTTAGCATAACTCAAAAGCAAGAGCCAGTACATGACTAGGAAACACAGTTTTGAACATTAAAATCTTAATATGTGTCATTAAAACACAAAAAGTATATGTATTCATAAAAAAAAAAAAATGTTTTTCAGTAAAGTTAGATACTGATTTTCAGATTTGGGACACAATAGGATCTAACTGCTTACCATGTTGCCATGAGAGACAGGGATGCAGTCTCACTTCCTGCTCTTAAATGCAGAGGTTTGGCTAAAATAAGGCTTTGCCTATGGACTGAAACTCATGTTGTTGTAGTGATATGAAAATAAAGTTTTTGAATAAAAAAATAAAACTAGTATTATTTTCACAATTTAAAAATTAGGGGTTAGGGTTTAGGACAGCCTGCTCCCAATGAGTACCTTATAAATGATGATGTTGTTTATATTTAGTTTATTACTATTTCTGATAATGATTTAAGTATATTATAACATAATCCTTGTAAATATCTAAATAGTTTATTGTTTTTTTAAAATATTACTGTGGGGCTGCAGTTTGAACTAATTTGATAGAACGGTCTGTATATATCGATACAGAATGTAAATATAATTAATTACTTAACTAACTACTAACTGATGTTCTCAGTCATCCATGTGAGGTACAACCCAACAAAAACTCCATTGCCTTTGTCTATATAAGAAAAGCAGAAACTCTGCATTTTTTTATAATGAGAATCAGAGGAGTTACAGAGGAGTATCACAGAATTCACTTTTCCCTGACTTGACAACAAACCACAGGAGAGCATGTCTTGAGAGAAAAAAAAGGAGACAATGAAAGGAAAGAGATGGAAAGAGGAGACTGACATGAGACAGAACAACAAAATTGTAGATTACCTTCCACAGAAGCTCTTCAGGAACATCAGAGGGTGGTCAGAATGCTCATTTACACATTGCAGCCTTCTTCTGATACCAATTAGTCTCATTATTAGAAACAATTGTGCTGTTCACTGAATAATATTTGACTCTCATGTTGCTTGGCAACCATAAACCACAGGTATCAAGCTACAATGCTTGGTGGCAGAATTGTTTATTAAGATTATTAATAATAAATCAAACTATTTATTGAACTTTGGTGTATTTTATTATATTGTATGACCTCTTGTGGCTTATTACTTCAATCTGTTTTTCAGCCTTAGTAGGAACAGTAATGTTCCTAATACAATCATACAGCAGCTACAGCAGAAAGCAAGGAGGAAGCAGAGGAAGAAACAGCAATACCTGTGTAGCCCAAGGTGTTGTCTTCATCATGTCCTGAAGCGGGGGCCTGCGTGACCCCCTCTTTTGGCGTCTCCGCTGTGCCCGTGTCTGTTGGGAGTAACACAGGGACTGAGACTTCCAGAGAAGAACCAGGGGCCACCAGAAATACAGTGGCAACTGAACAGCCCTGACACAAGAAATCCACCAGAACCAGACTCCAGAATAATCGCTCATTAAAGCGATTTGCTCTACAGTCGCATCTCAAAGTCCACATTCTTATATCCAATGAAAGACAAGGTATATATCAAATTAACAGCAATGAATAATGAGATAAGTCACTAGAAGGTCCAATGTGTCAATCAATTGTCTGCCATTAATCCATAGGAAGATGCCAAGAGATATCAAAGCAGGCCTTTACAAGTCTTTACAAGCACCCATAGGTGAGTTCAGTGCTCCCACTCACCATTGGCCTGCATGAGTGTTCCCTAGCATCCCCTGAATGAGTATATGTGGGTGTGTGACTCCACCAGAGAGCATATGGGCAAAAGCAAGACCACCCACTCCAAATTCACACACATATACTGTCACACATCCTATTTAGTCCTTAACACACTCATTGAATATGGCCACACCCCAATCAAGGCTTGTCATTTTCCCAGCTTCATAGAATGAGACTTTTTGCCAGGCATTGGGCTAGATGGGGGACCATTTGGGGGAGTGGGGCGAGGGGGGTCGGTGCCCCTTTGATGGCTAAATGTGGGATAAATCAGACCGGGCCATGCCCACTTCCATTGTGGAGCACTGACAGGGGGTTAATTTGAGCCAGGGAGGGGATGAGGAGGAGGGAATTTAATGAAAAGTGAGTCAGAATTCACCAGCTGACCGCCATGCAGTCTGTCATCGTGCTGAATGAAGATTGGCATCATTGAGAGGATAAATGGCAGACAGACAAAACAAAAGTAGCTCATCTGAGAGCACTTAGTGCTCGATGATGTCTGACCACCGCCAGCCCATTGATATCGAACCATAAACACATTTGAGCCAACATGCTAAATGCTAATTCTTATTGTGAGGCAGTTGTAAAGTTTAGTGTGGAAGCAAATTAGCTGGCAAAGACGTTGATTAGAGAGGTTAACAGCGTGTGGAGGGTGAGCCAGTTTCAGACCTCTCTTGTAATTAGAGTAGATATTGCATATTTATTCCCTCTCATCAACAGACGTCCCTTTTTCCTGGAGTTCATGCCAGCGAGAGGCTATCAAATGAGAAATGAACAGGCTTATGTAACTGGTTACATATGTACCGGTCATCTCTCTGCACATATGTTAAATTAATCATCATATTTTATGCATTAGAGTACACAGAGTAATGCTACAGAGTAATGGTTCATTGTAGAGAAACTGACTCTAGTTTCTTTACAGTGGGGGTGACAGGAACCAGAAGTTACAATGTCTATAATGCAAATATAGCCATTTTTTTTACTGTCCAAAGACATCTCCACCATGAATACATTTTTAAAAATAAGTTTTAGGCCAAAATCTTATCTCAAGACTACCATAAAACAGACATTAGGCAATGTTTTCATAATCATTTCATGCAACTGTCTGATATAGCATTTAGAGACTTTTATGGTTCCTATCACCACCACTGTGAACAAATTTGACTTGACCAGTTTCTTTAAAATGCACTTCACATCAGACCACTTTTATTAACTTCGCTTACATTTTAATGATGGAATTATTTTGACATTTTGGCAGATCGGTAGAATTCCCTTTAGACTGCTATTGCAGTTCATGTTGAGATAACAAAGTCATATATGCCAACTATGAATATTGCATTTTTATGAGTAATAATTATTATTATTCCAATAAGAGCACAATTACAATACAATGCAAACCAAAGGGATGTACCAAAGGGACAAATGACATCGCATTACAGCTTAGCTAAACATTTAAGGGACACACGTGCAAAAAATTAAAAAAAAAAGTACCACATAAAGCTGTCTGTTTGTGTGCTGACACCATATTATTTTTATACTGCATTGTACATACACAGTTCTATATTGAGGCAGTAATACTGAATATTAAAGTAAATGGCTAAGACATTTTCTTTTAACAACATGCTAGTTGTAAAATAAGCCCTAAAGTGAAAAAAGTGTGCATAAAGCAAAAAAAGTTATATTTAAAGACAAACACATGGAACTTTGCCTTTGTCAGCTGAGCTTCAGAAGAGAACAAGCCTCACACATAATCTATAGCAACCCATTCACATGACCTATACAATACCAAATGGGCCTGCCAGATATTTTATCAGCAACAATAAAATCAATCAGATGCACTAGGAACACAAGCGAACACAGTATCCATTTCCACTCTGCCTTCTCTTGCCTGTAGGGAGCATGGTATACTGGCCAGCTCTCAGATGAGAACCACTTCACAGCTCATTAACAGGTGGTGTGCCCAGCTGCCCTCCAGGGCTCACGGACCAAAAGATGGTGCTCCCCAAATTCAAACAGCCTCTGTCCACAGTGCCCCATCATATCCCCCTCCCCTGGTGACTCATTAAGCATGGCCATGTGTGGCGATCTGACTTCTCCGTATGGACCCACAAAGAGGCCAATCCCAATTTGTTCGAAGGCCATGGCTCCCCCCTGCTCTCAGATATGACAAAAGGAGCACATTCTATCTTCTGGGCCATTCTCTACAGACATATCCCAATAGACAACAGATCAGGTCAGTGCTGAAGCCAAAGTTCATGCAACTAATAAAGCCAGCTATATGAATGAAGTCTGTTTTTTTGCACAGACTGTGCCATGCTTTGGGTGTTTATGGAAGGTGGTAGAAAATTCTCTGACCAGTACTAGTTTTCTTCTTCAAATTATGACAGTGAATCAAGGCAGAATACAAACAAGCATTCATGGTTTGTAGTGTCGTGCTAAAGGGCCCATATACTACTTTTTTCTTGTACTGTATATAGTTTTTTTCCATGAGGTCACCTTATTACATGTGTGTTTTTTGGTAACAAAACAGTCATAATCCATGTCTACCTGACCATTTTCCAGCTGCTCTTTTATCACACTGCCTTCCACATAAATGGGTGGAGCTAGACTGCTATAGACTGAATATGCAGTTGTATTATGTCTCCATACCACTCTTATTTCAAGAATTTTCTTTTTTTTTTGAGTAAGTTATTGCCACTAGTTACCAATTAAACTCCACACTGTGTGGCTTCAGGGCACGCTCACTTGCTCTCTCCCTCTCTCGCTCACAAACACATTCAGAGTCTAATCAGCTGAATTATTTGCTTCAGACAGAAGTGCTCATCTTTACAAGGGAAAAAAATTGCTCTTAAAAATTCAATGCCCTTTTCAGATAGAACAAAACAAACACAAGCCACAATTTCCTCACACTTAAACCAAATGGAGAACAAATTGGTCAGAACGAAGTGGTCAGGAAGCACTCTGGCACTTTTGCTCACCATTCAACGCAAAAGGCTTTTAATGTACATATCTAGAAAAAATAATATTCCAAAGTACACATGGGTGAGGGGATGAGCACACTATTATGAAACACGGCATTACTAAAGGGGACATGATTGAGGCCAATTTGACTCTTGGGCTGGGGCCAATTTGTAAATTTTGCCTCATTCTGGGGCTGATCTGTCCTCTGAAGCTGTGACTAGGAGGCCTGAGCCGCTGCACTGGGACCTTTGCATGTCGCTGTGGGTATGATTAGCTGCAGTATCACAGCATGGAAGCTGAGGAAGGGTTATGTATATGAAGCAGTGCTCCCCCCAACACAGAGCACCAAGTATTTTAACAAGGGGCAGCTCCAGGGACCCTTTATGTGTAATCTGCAGAAGAGGACAGTGAGGAACAGGGCTGAGGTGTTCTCACTGGGGTGGTAAATGGAAGGACAGTGAACAGTGAACACAAATACAACAAAGATGAGCTGATGCTGATATTGGCCAATAGGCAACAATAATATTTATATACAATATCTATTTTTCTATGTTTTAGTTAAGTAAGAAGTAAGTAATTAGCCAATAATTCAAGAATATTTTGCAAGTTATTCTCAGTGTCTTCCATAGAATGAAAAGCAGGCTTTGCTAAATAATTTTCTTTTCCAAACTGTTGTTAAAAGCACATATTAAATCTTTAAATTTAATATGTGCTTTAAATTAAATCTCTTTAAATTGCTTTAAACATCTTGAAGGGGAATTCCAAAATTCCAATGAACCTACACGTCTTCTGAGTTTTTACATATAAAGTTGATAGTGGTACAACTTGGGTACTATTTAGCCTTGCTACACCCCGCAAGTACCTCGCTGCCATGAATGGATTAAAATAAAAAATACACTACAGGTATGCCGGTGGGGGTTTACCAGGACGGCCTACTGCGATGAGACCCTGGGGTCATCCTAGGACCCACTGGAGGGATTATATCTCCAAGTTGGCCTGGAAGCAGCTCAGGGTCCCCTGGAATGAGCTGGAGGAAGTTGCGAGGGACAGGGTCATCTGGGATTCTCTGCTCTCCCAACTTGCTACTACGACCCAATCTGGACTAAGCGGTTAAAGATGATGATGATGATGATGATGATGATGACACTACGGGTCAAAACATTATCTCAAAACTGTCTCTCAGGTTTGTACTGACTACCATTTAATGCAACAGATTTCGGTGATGTAGCTTTTGAGATATTAAACACTTCAGACATCTGGTTCCTATCAATTCTGACGCGGCATGTAACTCTAGAATGGCACATTTCACATCAAACTCCATGACATGACTTTGTTTACAATTTAACAAGTTAAATATGCAGACATTTTTTTAAAAAAAGTAGTGGAATTCCTCTTCAAAGGGTTGAGTACTGACACAGCAAGAGGATGAATCATTTTGGTCTGTTATTTCTTCAGTTTTACAGTTTTTGCAAAGAACAGTGTCAAAGTTTAAACAGCTTACTTGAAATATGTTGCTGCAAACTAATAACGAAACCTAATTTGCATTGAAACCATGTTGTGTCAGAACATGAGGTGTTCTTGCCTCACAAGGTGAGATAAGAATCACTTATTTGCAAGCTTTGTGCGCTTTCATATCTGCAATTTTAACTGC